GGCCATTATTCAGGTACCACTCAGAGCCAACCTCTGTCAAGGAAGATCCCATGTGGAGAGGGGCACCCTTCCCAGCCAGGCTGGTGGGGAGGCATCAGAGCACATAACATTTATAAACCATTACATAAGACAGCTTTTAAAGAAAGGCAAGTGCCCAGCCCTTAAAGCAGGGTCACAGCCAGGCAGCACCTCCAAAATACCAACCCCAGGCTTACAATAGAAATAGAAGGGGGAAAGGGAGTTAAAAATAGAAGCAAAGGCAAGCGTGTTCAGCTGTGAGAGTAAGCAGATTAGCAAGATAAAAAGAGGAACAGATTAACAGAGATTAACACAACTTTATTGGAATTGGCTAGTACAGATTTCCTTCTACATCTCAGCAAGGATTCCCCTTCCCTTCCCCAGCAGGCACAGCCCTGGCCCTGCACAGTTTAACACAGCACGAGTTCCCAGCAGTGCCCTGAGCCCCCAGGGAGCCCCCTGCCCCTCACGACAGCAGGATGGGAAGGAGAACAGCCCCCTCAGGCCAGCTCTGCCTTCCAGCAGCAGAGAAGGAGCCATCAGGCTCAGGAATGCAGCCGAGGAGCAGCCAGGGGCTGGGTGGGCTCCAGGCATTGCCAGGGGGCTGTGTGGGCAAGGAAAGCGGGGTCACCCTCAGGACAGACCCCACCCAGGGCTGCTCTGGAGCCGGGACACCCCAAGCAGCTCTGCCCAAGGTAAGAGCAGCTCCCAGCTCACCTCCTGCTCCCCTCCTAGCCTCCAGGGGACAAAGGCAACTTTTCCACCCGGCTCCAGAGGCAGGGTGGAGGAGGAGGAGGAGGCACAGGGGAGGGTTCTTGGGGTGAAACAAACCCCAGCTGGGCAGTGACCAGCCTGCACACCAGACCCTGCTGTGCAGCACCCCCTCCCAGCCAGGCAGCTGCTGGGGCTCACAGCATCACTCAAGGGCTGGCCAAGGCTCCCAAACGTGCTGTCACACCTGTGCCCTGTCCCCAGCAGCTGTGACCTGGCCCAGGGGGTGATGCTGTCTGGGGAAGGACTGAGCAGGACAGAGAAGTCCCTGTGAGCACCAACACAAGGGCAGAGAACCTACACCTGCACCAGGAGCTACTTTTGGGGGCAGGCCCACAGTCCCCACCCCAAATGTCTCTGGGGTACAGAACACACAAACAGGAGGGACAGTGCAGGCCACAGGTGCCTGCTGTGGCTACTTCTTCTCCTGCTTCTGCTGCTGGTACCTCCTGAAGTGGGTCTGGATGGTGATGGCTGCCCTCTCAGATGGGTCAGTGGCCTTGCTCTCCTTGCTGGCATCAGGGGTCACATCACCTGGGGGACAAACAGCATCACAGTGAGCACAGACAGTGCCCTGCCAGCAGCCCTGAGCAGGCTCCCCTGGGCTCAGTGGCCTCTCCATCCCCCAGACAGGACAGCTGTCCTTGCTGCAGAGCCCACGGCATGAACGCACCCAGGGCAGAAGGAGCAGGGAGCAGGAGGCAGAGCAAAGCCCAGCCTCCCTGGCGCTGCCGAGCCCTCTGTTTACCCAGCCCCACTCCCCGAAGGCAGCAGCTTCCCCACGTTCAATCAGCACTATGATGCTCGCTGACTTTCGCGCACACAAATAAGATTAGGAGCAAGCCCGGCCCCGCTATTGAGAGCAATAAAGCTCTCACGCTGACAAACGGGAGCCCTCCCCACTCCCGCTTAATGTGGCATCAGGGAAGTATTGTGAAATTCAACAGGAACTGCATCAAAGCCACTCAGCGGTGCTCCTCTGAGCCGGTGTGTCACTGCTGAGCACCCCCCGAGCAGCCATCAGCAACCCCGGGCCAGATGCTGCTGGGTAAACCCACCCGAACCCATTTCCCTTCCCGCCTGAAAGAAACTGGGGTGTAAAGGGAAAAACAGGAGGGAGTGGAGTCCCCCCTGCCCTGTTCAACACTGCCAGCTGTGAATCCTGCCAGGGGCAGAGGTTGAGGACGGGCACTGCTGGGCAGCGAGGGTGAGCCCTGGCTGTGCAGCTCTGGCACTGCTGGGCAGCGAGGGTGAGCCCTGGCTGTGCAGCTCTGCCACAGCCTCCCCTGGCACCCCCAGACCTGCCCCTGCTTGCAGAGAACCCCCAGGCCATGAGGAGGGCTGGCACCCCCAGCCCCCACGGGCATTGTCCAGGAATAGAAGGGCTCAAATCCTCTTTGCTGAGCCCTGCAGAGCCTCGAGACAAGCCCGGAGAGAGGAGGGGGAGAAAGCCAGGTGGTTCTGCCAGGACAAGGAGAAGGGGGCAGGTTTCCTGGGATGGTCTGCACAGACACCTGAGGGGTTATAAATTCAGCCCTGCAGCACTGGGACCCTCACTGGCTGAGGCTGCACACACTGACAAACATCTCATCATCAAACAGCCCTTAGTAATGTCACAGGCAGATCTGTGGAAGGAGAGAGAGGCCAAGAAGGGTGCAGGTACTGCAATGCCTGCTCTCCTGCTGCACCCACAGTCCCCAACTTGTGTTGATTGGGGTTTTTTCCTGCCTCCCTGCCTGTTCCACACTCACCTTTCTCTCCAGAAAGCGAGTAGATGCTGTTGTGCCGGGAGTTCCTGCCTCTCTGGAAAGGGAGAGAAATAAACCAAAAGTTAGCTCTATCCCAGACAGAGGCAGTGAGGGCAGCCCTTTATAGCCCAGCCAGGGACCCTTCCACTCTCCCGTCCCTTTAGGAAACTGGAACATCTTCCTGTGGTTCCCTTAAAGAGCACTGATTAATTAATCTGCATTTATGAGATGACCTCCAAGGAGAGGCAGGAAACAGCTTTGCATCCAAGCTCAGAGCTGTGAGGTGCTGCAGCCCATGGATGGATGTTGGCACACGCTATCCTCACTGGGTCTGCACTTCAAACCAGTAAGGAGCCCTACACCATGAACCAACCTGCAGCTCCTGGGCTGCCAGGTCTTCCAGGGGAAATTTCCATTTCCAAAAATAAGCTTGAATTTGTCTGCAAATACCTCTCCAACAGCTTCCAGCTTACCCTGCCCTCCTGGCATTACATTTCCCCCTTGCCTAAACCTCCAGGCTGCCCCTGCAGCAGCACTGCCACCCCCTGAGCCAGCTGTCCTGGCAGTGCCAGCATCCCTCACCTGGCTATCCTGGCAGTGCCAGTGTCCCTCCCCTCATTGTCCTGGCAATGCCAGCAGCCTCACCTGGCTGTCCCAGTGTCCCTCCCCTGGCTGTCCTGGCAGTGCCAGTGTCCCTCCCCTCATTGTCTTGGCAATGCCAGCAGCCTCACCTGGCAGTCCCAGGGTCCCTCAGCTCCCTGTCCCAGTGTCCCTCACCTCGCTGTCCCAGTGTCCCTCACCTCCCTGTCCCAGTGTCCCTCCCCTGGCTGTCCTGGCAGTGCCAGCATCCCTCACCCCACCTGGCTGTCCTGGCAGTGCCAGTGGCCCTCCCTGGCTGTCCTGGTTGTCCCAGTGTCCCTCAGCCCCCTGTCCCAGGGTCCCTCAGCTCCCTGTCCCAGGGTCCCTCCCCTGGCTGTCCCTGTGTCCCTCACCTCCCTAGGCAGGCAGGTACCAGGTGTCTGTCCCTGTGTCCCTCCCTTGGCTGTCCCTGTGTCCCTCACCTCGCTGTCCCGGCTGGTGCGGCGGCTCTGGGACACGCACTGGATCTGCCAGGGCAGGGGCTGGTACACCAGGTAAGGCAGGGGCTCCTCACGGAACAGGTTGGTGCCCAGCTGCCCACGGGGAAGGTTTTCCAGCAGGGAAGAGGACAGGAGAGGAAGAGGAAGAGAAAGAGCCGCTCAGCCACACTCAGCAGCAGAGACCACAGCCCTCCCCTGCCCCCAGAGCGCTCCCAGCCCTCAGCCCAGGCTGCTTTGGGAGGCACAGGAGCCATTCCCAGCAGGGCAGGAGGAGCTGCTGCTCCTCCCCAGCCCAGGCAGGTGAGAGCAGCACCAGCAGCTCCCTGCGGGCACTCACCTGTGTGACCACCCTCACCACGAAGAACAGCGCTGTCATCAGGGTGCCCAGCATGGCCAGGGCAGTGCAGGGGCCCGGGAGCAGCACTGCAGGACCTCCAGCAGCCAGGACTGAGCTGTGCCTCCTTGGCAGGCAGAGGCCAAGCCCCTTAATGAGCTTACAGCCCTGCTCAGCCTGCTGAAGTAATCAGGCCCTGCCCTTTTGCTCTTCTAATCGCAGAGTTTCTCCAACACACGCTGCTGGCATTCCAGGAAAGGCAAATCCTCTGCTCCAGGAGCAGGGACAGCCAGCCCAGCCCAGCCTGGGGTCACACCTGCTCCCTGGGGACCCACCTCAGCAGGGTCACAGCCCACCCAGGGGGACCCCACGCCCCAGCTGGGATTTGGGATGTGCTCAGCAGCAGGGTGGGAGATTGTCCCCAGCGTGTGCTGCCTCCAGAGCTCCTCCAGCAGCTCTCACCCAGCTCTCCAGAGGGCAAAGACACACCAGGGCAGCTCAGGCACAGCAGAAAAAGCCTGGTGGTGGTTTGTTTTGTTTTTGAGGACGAAGCTCTCAGCCCCCACTTGTACAAAAGCTGATGCACCCCCTGCTCCCCCTGAGCATCCCCAGGCTGCTGGCAGGGGATGGGAGCGAGGGAAGAACACGTCACCAAGCCTCCCCAGCTCCTGGTGAGAGCATTGCTCAGCGATCCCAGCAGCACTGGGGCAATTCCTGGCTGCTCCCAAAGCCGGGGGAGGCCAGCAGGCACAGCCAAGCTGCAGTGAGACATCTTCAACAGATCCCAGGCTGCCAGAGCGACGCCTTGTCTTTGTTTGGTACTTTTGGTTTTCAGCTTCCTTCTCTCTGCCTCTGCACTTCCTCCCCTGTCCAGGCACTTAAAGGAATAATGGTAACAAAGCCACAGAGAGCTCAAGTGGTCTTGGGAGCTGCCAGAAATGACCTTGACAAGACAAAACATGAGAGAGCCCAGAGCCAAGGGGAGATGTGAGAGGTAAGTACAGCTGGACCCCCAGCTACAACAAAACACAGTGACAACCACCAGCATCATACAAAACAGGCTCACGTTGATTTAATTTATACAAAACCAGATACAGCTGCTATCCCGGGTTTTAACAGGAAAAAAGAGCATGTTTCAAACCAATTATTGTTACAAAAACCTGGCATTTCCCTGCACCATTAATGCATGGCTCTCCCAAAACACAGAATGGACTCAGTGATATGGCTTGGCCCACAGCAACCACAACTGTGGGGTCCCTTCTAAAACCCTGACTGGAAGGACTGCCATGTGTCCTCAAACTAAAAGCAAAATCCCTGCAGGAAGGGGTTTGTGCAATCCAGCAGCAGAGGGGAGACCCGTGTTTGGACCCCTCCTCTCCTAGAAGAAATAAGGCTACTGAGCAATTACAAAAATTCTAGAAAAGGAAAAATAAAATAAATACATTCTTAAGAGCTTTAAAAATGGTGTTCATCAAAAATATATTTCTCATTTGCATGTAAACATCCCCGTGCCAGGCTCACGGCGTGGGCCAGCACACTGCACCCGGGCAGCAGAGCAGGGGGCTCCCCCTGCCCACCCGAGGGGCTCTCACAGCGTGGGGCAGCAGCTTCACAGCCTCCCCCAGCAGCTGTCCCGGGAGGAAGGCTTGGAAGGTGGTTTCTCACAGATGGGCTCCCTCGGAGTGCGGTGTCCTCGGCCAGTGGCAGCTTTTTAAAGCATCAAACATTTAGAGTCAGCTCGGAGGAAATACTGACAGAGACAAGCAAACAGCACCATCCTGTGAGAGCCTGGCTCCTCCCTGCTGGGTAGAGTGGAACCCCTCCCAGTCCATCGTCCCAGCGGGCTGGCACACCCCTGCATGTGCCTTTGCACAGGAACAGAAATGTTCCTGGTGAGCAAATGGGCCACTGTGAGGTCCTGGAGCTGCCCATCCCAGCTCCTCAGCCCCCTCCAGCCTTCCCACAGCCCTGCTTGCCAGGATCCCTGCAGACAGCTGCAGGAGCAGCAGTTCTGGGCTCCAGGATTCGTGGCAGGGGCTCCCCACCTGTGCATGAGAGATGCCAGCTGCTGAGCTGGATCCCTCTCCCCAGGGCATGGGGATGCAGGTGGGGCTGTCCCAGCACCCTCAGCCTGCCTGCACAGCCCCTCCCCGTGCCCTGCCACCATCCCTGCTCCTGCTGCCACCACAGGGGACAGAGTTTTGCCATGAGAGGAGCAGGGAGGGCTCGTCCACATCGAGCACTCTTGGCCCCGTTCCCACAGCTTGCACCCCAAACGAGCAGAACATTCCCCCAGAACATTCCCCCAGAACTTTCCCCCAGAACATCCCCTCAGAACTTTCCCCCAGAACATTCCCCCAGAACATTCCCCCAGAACTTTCCCCCAGAACTTTCCCCCAGAACTTTCCCCCAGAACGTGCCACCCCCTGATTTTACCCCCAGACTCTGCAGCCACTCTGCTGCTCCCACGTGCCAGAGCCCACCTGGCACTGCCCACCTGGCACCAGGCTTTGGCTGGGCACTGGGGCAGGCTCCTTTCCTGAGCCATTTCCTCCTGCACAGACTCAGCTGGATCCACATCCTCCCCCTTGACCAGTTACTCCCAGTCCTCTGTGATTCACAGCTCTGCCTTGCCTTGGAATACTAATGAGGGAAATGTTGATTTATGGGAGCCCTGGTATGTCACTGCTGGATTAAACAGTCTATAAAGTATATTTGGACACATTACAGGATTAGGAGAGCCCGCCTGGGAAGTTCTCTTCCTCCTTCCTGCACTCTCAGGCAGTCTCAAGGACGTGGCACACACACACCCCCAAAACCCAGCCCCTCATGGGGACACAGACCCCAGCCCACCCTCCCTGCAGAGAAAACCCCACCTCTCAGTAGTGGTACACCTTGATCTCTCTGTTCTCATCCAGCCCCAGCTGCAGGAGGCTGGAGCTGCTGCCTGGGGGCTTCTGTGCCCGTGGGGAGAGAGGGCTGGCAGCTGGGTGAAGGAAAAGCCAGGCTCACAGCAGGAATGGGCCAGGCAGGCAGGTACCAGGTGCTGAGCCAGCCCAGGGCACACAGGCTGCACTCAGCCTGCTGCATCCCAGTGGAATTAGAGGGGGATTAGGGAGCTCAGGCTCACCACGCTCGGGGCAGCACGGAGCCCAAGGGATTTGCTGCTGATAGCAGAGTGCACTGAGGAGACACCCAGAGCACCCCTGCTCACTGCAGAGGTCTGGCTCCCTGGATCCCAGCTACAGATCCCTCAAAACAGAGCTGGAGAGAGCTCTGGGGGAGCCCAGCCCTCCTGCCCCACCAGTCACACACCTCCAGGTGCCCTCTCCTCCTGCCAGGCTGCTCAGCAGGGCCTGCCCATGCCAAGGGCTCCAAACACAGCACCAGAAGCAGCCCTGCAAAGCCCTTCCTGCCCACCCCATCCTCCACTCTGCACTGTTTAAACCCATACTTTTAAATCCTCACATTCCCTGCTCCGACTGCTCCTCTGCAGCTGAGCATCACAGCACAGGGAGAGGAAGGGAAACTTCCTCAGTGGAGTGCAGCCCAGGGAGCAGCACACAGATCACTCCTGCTCCATCTGCTGAACACCCCTGCAGCACCAGGCACTGCAACAGAGGCCAAGGCCTCGAAATTGCTGCTCAGTTCTTCATTTCACACCCTCCTGCCACCCTCCTCCTACCTTCTGCACAAGCAGGAATGCAATTAAAGACCAGACCCAGGTAAAAGATACGCTTTGGAATCCTTCTTGAAGCCTTTCAGCCATTTCTTGTTGCTCTCAATCATCCCCTCAATACTCCTTGTCTCTGGCTCACTGAACTTGGAATGCTGGAAGTGCCTGATTTGTTCACTGTGGCAGAGAGAGAGAGAGGGTAAGGTAAGTGGGGAAAAAAGAGGTCTGGGAAGAAATTATCCCAGAGATGAGAAAGTGATGGGATGCTGAAGAAAAAACCACCTCTAATATATCTACTGATAGTTCACTTTTCTCCTTAGTAAGTAGTTCATAGTAATTACCAAATTGTAATCAATTTTTTATGTGAGAAGTGGCCCAATCATCACTGCAGAGCACAGTGGAACCCAAGGAAAAAGGCCCTTACTCTGCAGGGACATAGCCCAGCTTGCTGTCCAGAGGCACAGGAGTCCCAGGGAGAGAGGAGAGCCCACCTGCAACACAGACATGAAACAGAGACCCCACAAAAACACAGATAAAACCTGCCTGGATTGCTCTGCTGCACTGCCCTGCAAGGGACACAGACCCCACAAAACCACAAATAAAAAAATCCACATGTAGAACCTGCCTGGGATTGCTCTGCTGCACCTCAGGCACGTTGTCCCTGCAAGGGACACCAAGGAACAGAGGAGACCCCAGGTGACACAGGGAGGGGGCTCCCAGGGGAGAGGCTGGCTCCTCCTTTACTGCTCCCTTGGGTATTAAAGAGCAGGAAACAGGATCAGCTGCACTTCTGGAGGGAGCTGCTCATCCCTCATCCCCCTTCACCCACCCTCCCCAGCACTGGCAGCCAAAAGCAGAAGCTGCAGGCAGCAGAGCAGGTGGGATGAGGCCAGGAGACTCACCTGGGAAATACCTGTGCCATTTCTCTGCCAGCAGGTTGTCCACTGACTGTCCTGAGGTGGAGTAACCAGAGCTGGGCCTGCTGCTCCGGGCCCACTGCTCCAGGGGGGACGCCCTGGGGGGGTTCCCCAGGGAGCTGCTCCCCCCCAGGCCTGCCAGGGAGGGATTGCTGGGAAGAGGGGTGCCCTGACAGGCTGTGGAGCTGAGGAGAGGGGGCTGGTGCTGGCTCAGGGAGTCCAGCAGCCCCAGGACCCCGTTCAGCTCACTGGTGATGCTCTGCACAGAGTCCCTCAGGTGCTGGATCTTGTCCTGCTGGAGCACGGGCCAGAAATCCATTCTCAGGTCAGCTGAAGGAAGGAAGGGGAAGAAAGGGATCACAGACAAGCCCTGACTAGAGCAGGCTGTGTGCAAGCAAGCCAACCCTCCTGCCTGCCTGCCCTTCCTCCCCCAGCACAGCTCCAGGCAAGCAAAGCCCAAGAGAAAGCAGGAGCAGCAGAGGGGGAATGGCAGCAGCTCCTCCTGCCAGGATGAGAGGAAGGGGAAGCCCAGACCCCTGCAGAAGAGCAGTACAGGTCTGCAGGACCAGAGGGAAACCAGAGAGATTTTATAATCCACAGAGGTGTAAAAGGCAGGTTCACTCACAGATCCCACCCCTCTTATCTGCCACTCCATGCAGCAAAGCAGTTTTTGCAGTCAGGTGTGGTAACAGAGCAGTGACAGACCTGCACTGGACACAGCTGAGCACAGCTGAGAGCAGGGACACCAGGGAGGTGAGAGGAAAGGCACAACAGGCCTGGAGCCTCCCAGGGTGGGCACTCACATCCAGGCTGGCCCAGGTTCACACTGGAGGTGCTGTTTGTGTCCTCAGAGGTGCTCAGGTCAAACGTCACCACCTTCTTGCACGCGGAACTCTTCAGTGTATCTTCATCTGAGAGCTGCTCAGGAGGAGGAAAACAATGCCAGTGAAACCTGCTGTCTCATCCCTGGAACACAAAAGCTCCTGGAAATCTGCCTGCAGCTTGTCCACAGAGCTGGACTGCAGGCAGGCACAGGTCAAGTGAAGGCAAACTTGTCTCCAGCCCCTGACAGCAAAGTCTGAATGCCCAGAGACTGCTTTGGCTCTCAGAGTGCAGGAGGCCAGGCCCAGCAGCCACGTGAAGCAGTGGTTTGTGCTGTAAATAACCTCACAGCTCCTGCAGGGCTGGCTTCCCTGTGCCAAGGGCAAGAGTTTGACCATCAGAGGTCTGCTTCTCTTGCATCCGCTGCTGCCCTGCCCCAGGCCACGTGGCAGAGCCAGACTCCAAGGTTTGCCTTGGTCAGGAGAGCAGGCTCCATCCCAGCTCACAGGAGGTGACCTGCCCTGGATTTCTCCAGGCTCAGTCCATGCAGCTTTTCCAAGCTGCCTTCTGCAGCCACACACTCAGCAGCCTCTGGTGCTCTCACAGAAAGTGCTTCCAAAATCCAGCTCTGCTGCCAGCAGAGTTTACCTCCTCCAGCAGCGAGGACTCCAGCTGGCTGAGCTTCTCCTCCTTCTTCTTCAGCAGCACCTGTCCTTTCTGCATGGCTGACTTCATCTTGTCCAGCTCCTTTGCCTCCTGCACAGACAGCAGCCACGCCAAGGAGGGAAATGAAACAGCAATGACAGGGAATAATCCCTGTCAGCAGCTGGGGTGACTGTCATCACCTCATCCTGCTCAGCACAGGGAGTGCTGCTGGAGTGAAATCACTCCCAAGCCCTCGAGGGTGTGGGAAGGGATGAGCACAGTGAGCACAGGGCTCAAAGCAGGCTCAGCCCAAGGAAAAGGAGCTTTCACCTCCAAACCCACACCAAGAGGGTCACCAAGTCCACACCAAAGGGGTCATCAAGCCACATCTAGAAGGTCACCAAGCCACACCAACAGCATCACCAAGCCCACAGCTAGAGGGACACCAAGTCCACACCAACAGGGATACCATGCCTCCACCAGCAGGACCACCAAGCCCACACCAAGAAGGTCACCAAGCCACATCTAGAGGGTCACCAAGCCCACACCAATGGGGACACCAAGCCCACACCAATGGGGACACCAAGCCCATCCCAACAGGGTCATCAAGCCACACCAAGAGGGTCCCCAAGCCCACACCAAGAGGATCACCAAGCCCACACCAACAGGACACCAAGCCCACACCAACAGGACACCAAGCCCACACCAGCAGGGACACCAAGCCCACACCTAGAGGGTCCCCAAGCCACACCAACAGTCATCAAGCCCATCCCAACAGGGTCATCAAGCCACACCAAGAGGGACACCAAGCCCACACTAACAGGGTCACCAAGCCCACACCAACAGGAACACCAAGCCACATCTAGAGGGTCCCCAGGCCACACCAAGAGGGTCCCCAAGCCCTCACCAACAGGACACCAAGCCCACACCAGCAGGGACACCAAGCCCACACCAAGAGGGTCCCCAAGGCCACCCCAAGAGGACCACGGCAGCGCCAGAGCTGACGCCAGGGCTGCGGGCACTCCGTGACACCCAACACCCGCGCTCAGGCAGCGCCCAGGGCTCACCTCCTGCAGGCTGTGGCGCACCCCCTGCAGCAGCGGGGAGCCGTGGGGGTCCTGCAGGGCCCCCTGGGCCCCGCGCAGCTCCTGGTGCCACTGCAGGCTGGCAGCCCTGAGCGCCGAGCGGCGCCGGCGCAGCGAGCGGCTCTGGCGCAGCAGGAACTCCTTGGCGCTCCGCAGGGACTGCCCCTCTGCCGACAGGTACCTCTGCACTCTGGGGACAAGGCAGGGCTCCTGTGCTGCTGCAGGCCTCGCACAGCGGCCCAAACACGGCGCTCAGCGCCCGCTGTGCACAGCCAGCCCAAAAGCAGGGCAGCTCTCCTGGCACAGGGGTCTCACCGGTCCAGCTGCACGTCGCTGTCCTCAGGGCTCTGGGAGGCTGGGGAAGGCTCTCTGGGTGAGTGCTGGGAGGGTGGCACAATGCAAAAATTAAGTGTTTATGGGGGAAAGAGACGGCCAGGGCCACCTAAGACTCCAATGACATCACCACAGCACCAGGGCTGCTCTTGATGTGACTCTTGAAGGTGACAAAGACATTTCTATCCCTGCTTTTCATTTGAGTACCCCACACTCCTCTCCACCCACTAATAATAGACAGACACCTGCAAATACTACTGAACACACCAGCAAAGAGAAATCCATCTCTGCTTCTCAAATGGTTTCACACAGAAGGAACAAATGCTGGGATTTTCAAGGGAGTTTCAGCCTCAGATCTCACAAGGCAAACACCTTCACAGGCTGCTTTACTCACAGCTTGAGGAGCTTCTCTCAGGTCTTCAACACAGAGCTCAGCTTTCTTTCTTGGAGATCCCACACTTTCTTCTGCCTCCAGTTCTTTCAGAGCCTCCTGCTTGCTCCTGATTGCTTCCTCCAGCTCTCTGCCACAGGAAAAAGCAGCAGCAGAGGCACTTGATTAGCCTGCAGGGGCGTCCAGAGTGAGCTCCAGATTCCAGCAGGGCCACAGGCGTGCAAGGCAGCACCAGGGCTGGGCAGGGAAACTGCTTCCCACCCTTCCTGAGCAGCTCAGCCCCCTCAGGAAAACCTCTTTGCATTTCAGTGCCCCTCTCACAGCACCTCATTAACCTCCCAAGGCAGGAGTGGAGGAGACAACCCTGACCTGCACAGGTGAAGGAGCAAATTGAAATTCACACCCTGAGTTAATGAAAAATCCAGAACTCTGTGCCCCCAAGGGGCACCTCGGGATTCTGAAGGAGCATGGCCCAGCACAGAGCTCAGAGGACGGGGAGAGGCCCAGGGTAGCTTGGAGAGGTTTCCCAGGGGCACAGGGCGGATTCTTTGGTACCAGAGGACATTTCTCACACACACCCGATGCGTTTGTGCAGCCTCTGGCTGCGGCTCTGCAGCAGGTCCACCTGGGCCTCCAGCTCAGCCTTCTGGTCCTGCAGCTCCTCCAGGCTCCTGCGCAGCTCCCGGATGGACTCCAGCAGGCTGCAGTGCTCCTTCCTGCTCTCCTCCAGGCGCAGCTGGCAGGCCAGAGCAGCTTCCTAGGAGAGAACCAGAACATCCCTCACAGCCTTTTCCCCAAGAGCCAAACAAGGGGCACACACAGCTCACGGGGTCCCAGAGCTACACACCCACACCAATCCTGGGAGAACAGGACTGTTCTCTCTGGGCAGCTCAGAACTAGCCCACCTCCCAGCACTCTGTTCTCCTAAAGCAGTTCTGAGGTGCTGCCCTCAGCCCCAGGGCAGCACAGCCCCTCTCAGAGCCCAGCTGTCCGTACGTCTCTTTCCAGCTGCATCCGTCCGTCCTCATCCAGCAGCAGCTGCCTCCTCCTCTGCAGGGACTCCTCCTGTCACAGGGAAAGGCAGGACACTGCTGATGCTGAGCAGCACCTCAGGCCTGAGTCTCAAGACCACTCCAAAACAAGGAGAGCTGCCAGGTTTGCTTCATGACCCCCCTCACTGCCCCCCAAAAGCGCTGAGCAAACCCAGAGCTCGACTGGCACAGCAAACACCAGCCCCAGGAATGCTCAGCCCTGCTCTGGCTGGTGACAAAGCTTCACCTCTGAGTGGGATGGCAGCAGAAGCCCTGGCTGAGCTCTCCTGAGCAGCCCCAGGACTGGCACAGGGCAGGGAAGCTCTGTGAGCCCAGCACAGGACTCACCTGGCTCAGGAGCTGCTCTGATCTGGCCTGGATGTTCTTCATGCGGATCTCCAGCTCGTTCTCTGCATCCTGGAGCTTTCTTTCCTGCAAGGGGAGCTGAGTTAAAGAGAAGGGCAGAGGCTCCTCCCTCACCAGGAAAACACAAGCAGGGAAGTGACCTGCCCCTCGTGTCTGGCACAGGGCAGCGTGGGGACAGCGTGGGGAGCCCCCAGGCCACCCCTCAGGAGTCCCAAGGGCCAGGGGCACAGCCTGTGCTCACCTTCTCCCTGTGTCTCTGCTGCAGGGCCGTCAGCCTCCCCTCCAGCTCTGCCTGCAGCCCCTTCAGCTCGGCGTCGTGGAGCTGCCGCAGCCGCGCGGCCTCGCTGCGCAGCCCCGCCAGCAGCTCCGACCTCTGCCTCTGCTCCTGCCAGCAGGGCACAGGGAACAGCTCTGAGGGGCACAGGGACCTCCAGCAGTGCAGGACAGACACAGGGAACAGCTCTGAGAGGCACAGGGATCGCTAGCAATGCAAGACAGACACAGGGAACAGCTCTGAGGGGCACAGGGACCTCCAGCAGTGCAGGACAGACACAGGGGAACAGCTCTGAGAGGCACAGGGATCACTAGCAATGCAAGACAGACACAGGGAACAGCTCTGAGAGGACAGGGCTCACCAGCAGTGCAGCAGGGACACACAGCACCCACTGGAAATCCAGCCCCCCACCCCGTACCTCCTCCTGGTACTGCTCCTGGACCCGTGCCAGGGCCTCCCGGTGCTCCTCTCTCATCCTCTCCATCCTCCTCTCGTGCTCCTTTTCCACCTCCCGCCGTCTGTCGCTCATCAGCTCGCTGAGCTGCAGGGGTGGCAGGGAAAGGGGCTTCCCTGAACTGCAGCCTCCCCAAAATCAGCCTCCCAGCCAGCCCAGGGCCAGGTGGGATCAGGGGTTGTGTCCTGGGGAGCACAGAGCCTTCACCCCGCTGAGGGATGTGAAGAACCTTCAGCACAAACCCCCCACTCACCTCACGCTCGTACTCCTTCACTTTCAGGGCTTTTTCCTGCACTTTCTGATCTGCTCTCTGCAGCTCCTCACGCAGCTGGGCCTCCTGGCTGCTCTGTGCCTCTGCCAGCTGGGCTTGCAGGCTGGAAAGGGCCTGGCAGGAGAGGCACCACAGAGACTCGTCAGGATCCAGCCCATGCCCCCGACAGGGCACGGCACAGCCTCACCACCCCTGCCTGGCCAGACACTGAGCCAGACCAGAGCCACACCTAGGGAGGGGGAAAAAAAACTAATGCCACCCTCCCTGGCCACAAAAAAACCCAACAATTTCTATTGTGAGGACCATCCCCACCTCACGGTGCTTCTCCTCTGCTGCAGACCTCAGCTGCTGGAGCTCACTGGCAAACTGTTCTTGCAGCTCCTCTGCTGCCTGCAGAAACACGAGCAAAACACAAGCTGGGGAGTGGGGACAAGGTGCATGTGCAATTAAATTCTGCCCAAAAGCATCAGCAGGCACAGCAGTGACCCCCCCTGCAAACAGGATCACTGCAAGGCGCCCTTGGCCTCTCTGTGCTTTCCCTCCCAGGGGATCTCCATGAATCCCAGGCATGCTGGGCTGCAGGGACTGGAACTGCCCCTCCAAGGGGCTCCCCAGGCTGCTCAGGACTGGAGCAGCAGCCCAAGAGGTGCTGGCAGCTGAAGAAGTGGCTGGGTTTAGTTCTGATGTGACAACAGGGCTGGGGCAGACACAGTGATCCTCATCTGGAATTCAGATGCAGAGTGGCCATTGCAGTAATTGCTAGTTAACCACCACTAATACCAACTGGGGCAGCTCTCCTGCCTCCAGCAGCCCTGGCAGCTGCCCCTGGTGCCCTAAGAGGGCTGAACACTGCCTGCCCCTGGTGCCCCACACCTGGCACTGCCCTGCAGCCAGGCCAGCAGGAACCCTCAGGCTGGCAATGAGGATCTCACCTTCTTCTTCTCGCTGTCTAACCTGTCCCTGAGCTGGCTCAGGAACTCTTCCTTCTCCTGCTCCAGCTTGCTCATCTCCTCTTGCTGGGCCTCCTGTGCTGCCAGCTGCATTTCCTCCAGGGCAAGCTGCTGCCTCCTCTGCAGGCTCTCCTTCTCCACCAGCTGCTGGCACTGCCACTCTTCCCTGAGCTTCTGCAGCGTGGCCTCCTGCTCTGCCCTGGTGGGTTTGGAGCAGAGCCCAGCAATGGGATCCAGCACTGCATGGGGCAGGGAGGCTCAGAGCAGCCTCTGAGCAGTGCTGGGGCTGTGCCCTCCCCAGTCAGCCCTGCACACCCAGGGAGGGCAGCAGAACCTCTCACCTCATCCTCTCCTCCTCTGCCTCCACCTCTGAGGCCATTTGGGCTCGCAGCTTCTCCAGCCTCTTGGCTTTTTCCTCTCTGAGAAGCAACTCTTCCTGCTCAGATTTTGCTAAATCTTCTTCTGGGGCGCTGACAGAAAAGAAAACCCAAGAAAACAGGTTCAGTATGTCCCAGTCCCCTCCCCAAGGGCTTCAGCTCAGCTGGGATCTCACTGGCTGTGGTGACACTTCCATCTCCCCCCACACCTGCAGGAGCTGCTGCTGGCAGGGGAGAGCAGCCCCAGCACCAAACCCGAGCTGTGTGGGTTTAAAACTTGCTACATCATCATAGTTTACACTTCTTTTGGGTTTTTTGTTCTTTTTTTTTTGCAGGTAGGTGAAATCCACTCTCATTAAATGGATGCAGGCTCCCAGGCAAGGTACCTGGATGCATTAGCACATCTGGAAGCTCCACATTTCCATATTATACCTTCTGCTACACATTTTTTTTTCCCCCTTCAGGTGCCATTTCTGCATCTTCCTTCACACCCAGACTGCTTCCCCACCATGTTCCATGTCAAGATGCTGCTCACAACATAAGCATCAAGCCCTATAACAGAGAAACCTCAAAAGAAGAGTTCCCCCAGGGAAAGGACACAGCTCCCAGTGCTGCTCTCAGACCCTGCTTTCCCACAGCCATCCCTGCACGAAGCCCTGTGTGGAAGTTCCTGTGTGAAAAGCCCCTGTCAGAGCTGCAGCCAGCTCCTCTGGGGTCAGCTCATCTCCTCTGATGCTCCCATTTCCAGCCCTGCTCCCCCACTCAGCCCAGGATCTGAGCAGCTGCCAGGTGGGAGAGCTCCAGGCATGGAGCTGGAAACTCCTGCCAGGGTAAGCACAACCCCAGCTCGAGGGTGTGTGTGTGGGGGACCACAGCTCACCCTGCAGGACGCTCTCCTGCCCCTCCTGAGCTCCCCCAGGGCACTGGGTTTGCAGATCCTCACACACACACTGCCTGTGACAATGCCTGTCCTTCCTCCTCCTCCTCCTCCTCCCCCAGAGCCCTGATCCTGCTCCTTCCCCCAGGCTGTGGCCAGCAGCAATGAAACCCCACCTTGGAGAGGCCTGCAGGAGATGGAGTAAAAAAGGAAAGTACCTGAGGGGCTTTTCTTTCTGCTGATGAAGCTTTTCAGCTTCCTCCTCCTCCTCCTTCTGCCTCGTCTCCTCCTGGAATTGCTGGATTTTCTCCTCCTTTGCTTGAAATAAATGCATTTCCTCTTGCTCCAGATCTGTCTCCACCTCCTGGGCTATTTCCTCCAGGGATTCATCATGAGAATGGTTCAAGGACTGCTCGATTTCTTCCTCAGCTTGCCTACCAAAGACAAAAAGCTCCTTTGGCAAAAGGGTGACAGAAAAGAGAGGAACACAAAAGGGACAGCGACCTCCTCCACAGAGCATCGACTCCAAACCCAGAACCTCAGAGCCACCTGCTCCAAAAGCTTCACTGCTGACCTCAGGTGCATCCTGAGGGTCACTGCTGGATCCTCGGGGGACTCCCAGAGAATCTCCAGCTGATGAACTGAACTCCAGCTACACTCCAGGCCCAAATAACTCTGATTTTGGCCCACCAGAGCTCACCTTGTGAGGTCAGTAAAATCTCACCTGAAGAAAAGCCAGGCACAGGAGCAGATGCCTTCAGTACCTGCCCCCAGCCCAGGGATTGGTGCTGCTCATGGACCAGGTATTTTTCTGCAATTGCAGCCTAAAGTGTGCTGGGAATTCGCCAGCTCCAGGCAACAGAAAGCCCTCAGCACTCCAAAAATTCAAGCCCAATCTGGTTCTAATTACGTTTTGGTTTTTTTGTTTTTTTTTGTTTTTTTCAGACAGACAGCAACAAAATTATAAGCTAAAGGGGAAGGAGGGGAAAATTGAGATTAGTCTAGGAAGAAAGATTTTTGTTCTTTGCTGGTGAAGGCTGGAGCAGGAAGGTCTCAGCATGCTGTGAGACTGGCAGTGCAAGGCCAAGGACTTCTGCCAGGAATGAGGGAAATAACAGCCCCAGTTCTTCAGCCTCGAGTCAGGAGAGAAAAGGTCATTTCTGCAGCCATTGGCAAAAAGAGCAAGGCAGAGCAAAGTGCTGGGGCTCTGGAACAGTCCCCTCACACCACCTGCTGCAGGTGTCCTTTCCAGGCTGCTCTGCAGAGCAATTCAGCCACTTCCACCTGGGTGTCACGTTGTTCCCTGCCCCAGTTTCTGCTCCACACAGAGTTACAGCAGCACAGCTCCTGGGGGAGCAGATCCCTTCCCCAGAGACACTGTGCCTGATCTTTGCAGCTGTGTCATTTGGGGAATGCAGAGTCAGCAGCTCACACCCCCGAGCTGCTGTGCCTCAGGGAGCTCAGGTGGGGACCCCCAAACACAGAGCAGCTCAGGACAGGAGCTCAGCTCTGCCCCCACTGTTTCAGAGCCACCAGGGGGGCTGTAAAACGGGGTGAATCCGTGGGGTTTTGCCCTTTTTGCCCAGCTCAGCAGTGCTGGTGGCAACGGGGCTCTGGAAGGCAGAATTGCCTCTGGGAGAGCAGCTGGGGCACACCTGGGCAGGGCACACCTGGGCAGGCTGCAGGAGCACAGCAGGAAGGAAGGCAGGAGGGCAGCAGGAGCTGCCCACGCCTCCCTTGTGCCCCTCTTTGTTCCATACCTCTCAGCAGCTTCTGCTCCTTTCCTTTGCTCCTCCTCCACGCTGGCTCTGCCTTGGTGTTTTTGCTCTTCTGGCAGCTCCTGGGCCTGCAGGTGAGAGCAAACAGGGGGCAGCTTGTGGCTCCCTCACCAAGGGCAGTTCTGCTGAAGGTCCACGGAATCAGCTGGGCCACGTGGCACCCACAGCTGCTGCAGTGTTGGGTGTGCCAGGCTCCTCTCCTGAGGGGCTCCAAGGGTCTCCAAGCACCCCAGGAATCCCTCCAGAGGGGAGGCCTGGCAGCTCAGCTTTCTCAGGATAAAAGATGAATTCCCTGCCAGCACTAAGAACTTGGGACACAGATTTGGCTTTTCTTTCCTGAAGGTCACTCTACAATCCCAAATCCCACTGAGCACCCAGAAAAGCACAGGAGAGAAATCTCCCAAAAGAGAAACGTCACACACACCAGGTGCTGTGGCAATGGAGCAGAGGATGAATTGTCTGGGACCAAACCCACAGTCCTGCCTCCCATCAGGGCTCTAGGGTGTGATGGGCTGCAGAGTCCAGGGATTCCTGACTCCAGGGCACATCAGCACACTGAGCATTCAGCTGCCTCATTTGTGGCACAGTGAATACTAGAAATATGACTAGAGAATATTTAAATGTGGAACAGTCAGCTCCCAGACCCCTCTGCCCCTGCAGCAGGGACACCTGAGGAGGGGAAGGACTTCCCTGCTCACCTGCCAGCCCCACGGGGAGCAGGGAGGGCCCATTCACAAATTTTTGGGGAGCCCAGCGGGTGAGCTGAGCCCTGCTGGAGCAGCCCAAGAGAGGGCGGGGTTAACTCTGCAATAATTAATGCAAATGCTCAGCACAGCAAATGGCAGGAGGATTCCCTGCAAGTGCTGTCACCTCCCATCACATCAGCCTGGGCAGAGCCCCCAGCCCAGCCCCCTGCTGCCCCTGGCACTGCAATCCCCCAGAAGCCAGGAGCTCAGCAAACCTTCCCTGGCTGCAAAGGGGCTCTGAAATGGGAGAGAGCCAGAAAATGGGGAAGGGATCATCCTGGAGACAGGGGAGCTGCTCTCAGGGTCAATTCTCTGGGTCCTGGGGCTCCTGCAGGGCAGCTGCCCCCAGGGAACTCCCCTGCTGCCCCTGTGCCCAGCAGGGCAGTGCCTCCCGAGGAATCCCTGCTGCAGAACCTCAGGACACCTCGGGAAGGTGAGGAGCTCAAGCTTGATGGTGTTTGTGGGTTCCTTCCACCTTGGGGCTCTCCGTGGCTCCACAGTTCTGCATCTTGAACCTCCAGTCCGGGGAAGGGAAGGGAAGGGGAAAAGTGGAAGGGGAAAAGGGAAAAGGAAGGGAAGGGGGAAAAGGGAAGGGGGAAAGGGGAAAAGGGAAATGGGGAAGGGGAAAAGTGGAAGGGGAAAAGGGAAAGGGGAAAAGGAAGGGGAAGGGGGAAAGGGGAAAAGGGAAGGGGAAGGAGCATCCTCCCCTCTCCCAGGTCCTGCAGGACACATCCCACAGAGCCCCTGCAGCCACCACAGCTCCTGCCAAAACACACCAACAAACCCCTCCAATTCTGTGCTCACAGAGCTGCCAGAGGTGCCTCTTATTTTCTTTTTTTTTTTTTTTTTTGAACAACAGAATGTTTTGCCGATGAACTCAAAGCAAGGCAAGCTCCTCACATGGAAGGGGGCACATTCCTGCAGCCCAGCCTCTGTGCAGACACAAAAGAGCAGCTGCAGTTCTGCAGGGAGCACCGTTCACAGCCAGCTCCCCACACGGGGCTGGGACAAACCCAGGCAGCATTTGCATGCACAGTGCTGCTGGGGGAGAGGGTGGGCACAGCAGGCATTTGTTTTGTTTTCCCTGCACATCTGATTGTGCTCATTACCAGGCTCAGGAGGACAGGTGTGCTCTCCAGGCTCACAGACAGGACTGCTCCTCTCTGCTGGGCAGGGGGGCACTCTGCCACTCAGGGTGGATCCTCCAGAGCAGCTGATGTGCTCCCAACCAGGGCAAGGCTGAGTAACCCCAGCTGGACCCTGCTCCAGCCACACTGGGAGGGCTCCAGAGGAACGTGGGGCTGAGCAAACCAACCCAGAGCCCTGCTGGGAGGACAAGGATAAACCAGAGAGGCACAGCAATCTCCAGGCAGAGCTGCCTGGCCAGTGCTGCATGCCAGGCTGGCACAGGCATGAACACTCCATGTGCCACAGACTGCCTGGAAGGAGCCCCTTGCCCCCCTGCATTGAAGCAGGCAAGGCAACCAAATGCTTAAAAATAAGCTTCCCTCTACCAAAATCTGTCAGAGGGAGTTAACCTCCTTTTCTTCCCATTGATTCTATCGTGCTCTGCCACACAAATCCTTCCCATCTGCTTAGGAGAAAGAAAAGGACAAATACACTCACAAAGGAAGAAAGGAAAACAGAGTCTGCTCCCTCCATTCCCCAGGAAAGCCATTTATATGGCCAGGGCAGCCTGCCTGTGTCCTCTCCAGCCACCTCTGCTCAGGGTTTATTTCTTTGTGTGGCCACCTGCACCTCCTCCTGCAGAAACCTCTGGGACCCCTGGCACTTCACACACCTGGCCCTGCTCACCTCTGCCAGGCCTTCACTGACAGCACCACACCTCAGGGTGCCCTGCCCATCACACCTCAGGGTCCCCTGCCCATCACACCTCAGGGTGCCCTGCCCATCACACCTCAGGGTCCCCTGCCCATCACACCTCAGGGTCCCCCTGCCCATCACACCTCAGGGTGCCCTGCCTGCTCACAGAGCAGCCCTGCTCCCCACCCAGCACTGACCTTGCACTCGGGGCTGGCCACACCAGGAGACTCAGGCCCCACACCCAGAACCTCCTCAGACAGCTGGCTCTTGGAGTCCAAGCCCTGAAAGGGAAAGCAGAAAGGGTCAGGCTCTGATGAGCAACCAGAGATGCTGGCACCAATATCCCAGCAGAGCTCAGACCCCCCCTCACCACCCCACTGACTCCCCTGGGGGACCAAGGGACAGCAGTGCCACTCAGGGAGGGCACTGCCACACCCCAGGGCCCCCTGCCACGCCACCAGCCTTGGCAGGAGAGGCTGGCACAAGGAACACCCAAGGGGGCACAGCTTCCCAGCCCCTACTGCTCCCCTTTGTGGCACTGCTGCACATTTCCAGGGATTCCTGAGCTCACAGCCAGCCCCCCAAGTCCTTCCCCCTTGGAGCCAGTCCCCCCTGAGCAGTTTTGGGGGCCCTGCACCCACGAGCCCACACGAGGCAGAGCCCCTGGGCAGACAGGCTGGTGCCATGCAGGATTAATGACATTCTGAGCCATGTGCTGGCCACGCTCTGCTCCCACTGCCAGATGGCACTGGCAGCTGCCTGTGGAGATGAAGAGATGCTGATGGGCATCTCCCCCCAGGGACCCTCAGGAGTGGGGTCTGCAGCCACGCACAGCCCCCTCAGCAAAGCTGCTGAGCCCCCAGAGCACAGTCCTTACACTGCTTTTTATTTTCCTCTCTGCAGTTACCCAGGTACCCCCGTGCCAGGGGAAGCTGGATCCACACCCAGGGAAAAAGGAGCTTTTGGTGACCCACCTCAGGCTGAGCCACCTCATGGCCAGAGCACTTGGAGACAGGCAAGTCCTGCTCACAGCCACTGCCCCCGGATGCCTTTGAAAGCTGAGAGGAAAAACACATTACAGCCTGCACAAGAACCCCTCTGCAAGAGGAAAAACACATTGCAGCCTGCACATGTGCCACCCCTGCAAGAGGAAAAACACATTACAGACTGCACATGTCCCATCCTTCAAGAGGAAAAACACATTGCAGTCTGCATGTCCCATCCTTCAAGAGGAAAAACACATCACAGCCTGCACATGTCCCACCCCTGCAGCTTCACCTGGGCACTGGCAGCACGTCTGGCCTGTCCCAGGGAAGAAAAGGTGACTGAACATCATGGAGAAGACACCGAGGATGTGTGACCCAAGGGTGTGTGACCCAAGGATGTGTGACCCAAGGATGGGTGACCCAAGGGTGTGTGACCCAAGGATGTGTGACCCAAGGATGTGTGACCCAAGGATGGGTGACCCAAGGATGGGTGACCCACAGGACAAGCACAGAACACCACAAGGGCAGGAGGTGGGGCTGGGGAGGGCAAAGAAGTGCTCTTCAACCATCCCTGACAAAAGGCACTTGCTTCCTGTCCAGCTGCAAGGATCTCTGCAGCTCCCAGAGCTGCCAGCCCAGCCCAGCCCAGCGCTGGAGCCATAGGAGCACTGTAAAACTCCACTTTGCTGTGCCCAAGTGCAGCTCCCAGGCGTTTGCAGGGAGCTGCTGGGTGGAGCAGCCGTGGCCCTGCTGCCCTCAGCAGAGCAGCTCAGGTGCACAGAGCACAAGGTGAGCTTGGGAGAGCAGCACCCTCAGCTCCTCAGCACATTTCCCAGGCTTGGATTTGTAGTTCATCATTTCTCACAGACGTGACGCGTCAGTGAACTTGAGAAATCATCGAGATCAGCAGGAAGGCAGCCAGATTGAGGAGAGATCCTCCATCAGACCTGAGTGCTGGCTCGGGTGCTGCTCGGGGCGCCAACGCGAGCGGACAGCACGTCTGGCAGCCCAGCTGCGGGGCCAGGCAGCGTGGGACACAGCCAGCCCTGCTCCTGCAGCCTGCCCAGCTCCCCAGGCAGACTGCGAGCTTCTGTGCTCCCAGCTGCAGCTCCAGAACCAGCCCCGAGGCTCCAGAACCAGCCCCGAGGCTCCAGAACCAGCTCCTGCCCGGCTCCGAGCTCGCCTCACGCGGCGCCAGGCAGCTCTGAGCAAGCTGAGAGGAACAAGAGGACAGAAACAAAGCAGCACGGACAGCTGGGCTCGGTGTGAGCTTCACCCCAGCCCTGCTCGCCCAGCACTGGCAGCTGGGACTGCTCCTCCTCCCAGACTCGGAGCATGGCACAGCCCAGGGCTCTGCCGTGGCTCTGGGCAGCCCTGGCGTGTGCAGGGGGATGATTGCCCAGCCCAGCCCTGACGGTGCCCACCTGAAATTCAGAGCACTCCTGCCCCCCAGGAATGACTGCCCTGCTGACCAGGAAAGCCTTTGGACTGGCTTCACAGAAAAGCTCCAAGGGCTTCCCTGAGTCAGGGCTGACGAGACGAGGGGAACACCAAACCCACACAGGCAGGACTCTTACTGTGCCATCATCCAGCCTGTCCTCTGATACTGAATCTGCTGCTGCTTCTTCCCCCTCTTCCTGCAGCTCCTTTTCTGCACAGGACAGGGTGGCAGCTGTCTCAGGCAGGCTGGCTGGCTCGTCTGCCCCTTCCCCAGCCAGAGCAGCAGCTGGGGGCTGCCCAGCAGGGCCGGGCACGTCCAGCCCTGCCGCGCTCCTCTCCCCCTCACACCGAGGCAGCTCCTCAGCTGCACAGGCCTCTCCTTCCTGCTCAGCATCTTCTTGGTGCACTGCCCCGTGCCCTGCAGGCTGGTGCTGCTCGGTGTGGGCAGCCAGGCTGCTGCCAGCCTCTGCAGAGAGGAGCTCAGCCGGAGACGGAGGGCACGCAGCCCCAGAATCCAAGGAGGACTCTGGCACCTCTTCAGGATGTCTCAGTTTTAAGGATTCCTTCTAGGCAGGAAACACAGTTATAGACCCAGTTTTCTCCCTGGGGGACGCAGGAGTCGGGAACAGCACAGGCTCTCCTACAGCAAGCAGCAAAATCACAAATCTTTGGGTGACTTCAAGACCTGTCTGACTTCTTTTCACACAGTCCCCTTCCAAGGCAAGGGACTCCACGGACATCATCTCACTCATTTCTTGGGCTCTGACTGTTTTTGAGCTGTTGATTTTTTTATTCACAGGCTCTCAGAGGATGAGAGTGGCTGTGCAAGGCCACCAGCCCCTGTGAGCACCCCACGTGCCCCACTGCAGGCCCACTTGTGCTTCCACATTGGATCTGTTTGGTGAGAGATGGGAATTTAGGAGAGACCACGACAGGACATTTCCCTGCTGCCTGACATTTCAAGCAGGCAGGAGCACCATCCCACCTTCCAGTGGGACAGACTGGAGGGTGGGCACTGACTGAAGGCACCACTCTGAGCTCAGAAAGAGCCTGTGACTAACACAGCAGGCTGAGAGATGGGGGAAGAAACACCCCAAATTAAAGCCTGGTCACCCAAAGGTTCAGCTGCCTCTCCCAGCAGTGCCCAAGGGAGGGGAATACCAGGGGAAGGCTCCCTGCTCAGCATGCAAACAGAGCTGCTCGCACGTCCCACCTCCTCACTGTTTTATTAATGCCTTGTCAAACCCTCCCTGCATCCCGAGCTCGCCGTGTTCTGTACACTGAGTGCATATTTTAGCAGTGCATTTTCAGCAGAGTGCCTCTGGAATGCTGTCAGCTCCCAGGCCAGGGCTGCAGGGCTCTGGGAGCACGTTCTGAGTGTGTCACTGCTCTGCCACTCCTCCCCGGGGCCAGAGAGCATCCAGCAGGATGGAGAGGACAGAGGAGCCCAGCTCCAGGCACTTCCCAAAAATCCTGCAGCTCTGGGCCTCACCTGCAGTGCCCTGGTGCTGGGAGCTGCCAGCCCCTGGCCAGCAGAGCCCCAGAGTGACACGAGGCTCCCTGGGGACAGCAGGACAAGGTGGGCACAGGGAAGTTCCTCAGCCACCCTCGTGCTTCTCCTTTTCTGGGCATTAGGGTGGAAAGTTCTGCTCCTTTTGCACAGCCTGCTTCAGAGCTCTCCTGAGGAGGCCTGGCAGTGTCCATGAGATCCCAAAAGAGGCCAAGCAGGGCTCTGATGCTTGAACACAGGATCTCACACAGCCCCAGATGCACCAGTGCACCAGCAGTGCTGTGCACACAAAAGGACTCCTCTCCAGGCCAGTGCACCTCAGCTACTGAGATATCCCAGAATAATCCCTTTGGCTGGCAGAATCCCCTTTTAATGGCAATAACAGGCACAGCTTTTGTTAGCCTCACACCTTAATGATCACAGATGCAAATGATGATCACTCCCGTGCCTGTCAGACCCACAGGAGGAGGAGGAGGAGGAGGAGGAGGGAGGTTTTTCCTCTGCAGCAACAGACTAGAGATTTTCCCTGGATTTCAGAGCTGGACGAGCCAGTTGGGTGTAACTGCCTTTGGGTGTTCTTTTCACACCTGTAACATCCTACCCACCCTGAGTGACGGGCAATCCCTGCCTGCCAAATCTCTGCTTCCAGTGAGCAGCACTGACTTGAACCAGGCACAGAGACGAGCCAAGCAGCTGCACACACACACCACCACACCAGCAGCTGCCTACTGCATGCAAAGCCTGGCTGGCACCGTGCAAGCAGGACAGGGATGCCAGGGAGCCACTGTCACCTCTCCCAGGCTGGCAGCTTCCTCCTCGGGGCTCCCGTGGGGCTGGGGAGCAGCTTCAGCAGCACCAGCAGCACCAGCAGCACCAGCAGCACCAGCAGCACCAGCAGCACCAGCTGGCGGGCTGCCACGCTCCTCCTTGCTGTTCTCCTGCTTGGGGGGACACAGCAGAATTCCCCAGCCTGGGGGACTCGCCCCCCCAGGACACATCACCACCCACCCCCAGCCCCAGAGCAGAAAGGAGCTCACGGGCCCAGCTTCACAAACATCAGGCTGTTGGGTGCTTCCCTGCTGCTTTTCCTGCTGGCCAGCTCCATGGGCTCCTGCAGAGCCTGAGCTCCCTGTGAGCCGTGCCTGGTGCTGCCTCCCCTCCACCCAACATCCTGCCTCACCAAGCCACTGAAACCTCCTATTTCCTTCGAATCCAGGCACCCAACCCTGACCACGGGCCACATGAAGCCAGGTTTTTTATGAATTCACCCATTACTGCTCAGATTTCCCCCTTGGGACTTGCCACACAAACCCTTGTCTGCTGCTTTGCAAAGGCTCAGCCCCAGGAATGCTTTTCTACTGCCACCTCATGGAACTACAGGAGAATTCTACTTCCCAGTCGGGCACTCTGCCTTATCAGGACTAGGCTATCACCCATCTGGGCGAGCAGCCTGCTCTTGGGCAGCAATTGCCACTCCACAATAGCTTCCCAAAGCCCCATCCCCGCGGCACTGACATGCCAAGACAGCTCTTTGTTCCTGCAGGCATTAACATTTCAGTGAGGAATTGGGCCCCCACAGGCTGCTGTTGTCTGGAGATGAGAGAGTCAGGGCTCTCTTTGTCACATCCACTTTAGCATAAGCCTTTGCAGATCCTGCCCAGCACCGTGAATAGCTTCTCCAGCAAAGTGCTTTACAGCTTAATTTTCCTGTGCTGTGAAAAGGATAAGGAAAATACTCTAAAAACACTTTAAAAGAAATTAATTTGCCTTTCAGATACTGGAACAGGATTTTCAAAGCGGTGAGAAAGGATTAATGTCAGCACAAACAGTCGGGCCAAATCAGCAGAGCTGCTTACAACGCACTTCCCATTGTGCCCTTGTCATCTTAAGCCTGATCCCAGCTAAGGAAGCCCAGGGAAAGCTCAGCCTCTGCACCAGGCTGTGGGTGCACTGCATGCTCTGGGGCTCAGCCAGGGGGAGAAGGAAGAAGAGCAGGTTTTGTGCTGCCACAGAAAGGCAGCCACGTGCAGATTCCACAGGGATCCTCGTGGAAGCACCAGAGCATCCCCACTGGAAATCCCCTCTCCCCTCCCCAGGGCCAGCACTGCAGCTTCAGGGGGCAGGGAGCCTTCCTCCCCACCCTGGCAAACAGACTGGAAGTGCCTCTTCCTCACGGAGCCTGCCCCACACCGAGTGCAGCTGACCCCAGACCCTTCTCCTGCTGCTCCCTGCACATTTCCCCCCTGCCAGCTCCACCTGCCTGCCTTTGTTTCTCTGCTTTGCAGAGCTCCAGCCTGTGCAAAGATGTCTCCTCAACCCCAGCTGCCAAACCACACCCACCTGCCTGCCTTTGTTTCTCCTGTCTGAGGATGGAGCAGAGCTCCAGCCTGTGCAAAGATGTCTCCTCAACCCCAGCTGCCAAACCACAACCACTCCAAGCACGAATTTCCCTTCAATGCCCACCCCAGTGTCCCCTGGGGGCCACACCTGGCTTCTCCCAGCCCCCAGCCCTGCTGCTGAGCCTTGCTCCCCATCACTCTGCTCCAGGCTGTTCCTGTTTAGAGAAAACTCATCCCTCTGGCACTATTCCTGCAGCCTCTCCCACCTGGTCTTACCTCAAAGTCAAAGCTGCCTGCCAGGGCTTCCACATCCAGGTACACGTTTTTTAACAGCCTTGAGGTCCCGTGGAAACTCTGAAGGGTTAAAAAATAAAATAAATGAACGGCCAAAATGGAGTTCTGACCTGCAGAGCCACGGCAGTGCACCACAGCCAGGTCAGCCTGGAGTGACACCAAGGTAGGTGCTCACTTACAGGGACCACCATGTGAAAATAGCATCAGATGCTTTTTGGGGACCAAGCAGCACAAGGAAAAGGGAGCACAAATGAAAGCCCAGGGGCAAAAGGAACAGCCATCCCCAGGGGAGCAGCAGGAGGCTCCAGCACCGTGCTCACAGCTGCAGCCAGGCCACACAAATACCTCATTTTCACTTTCTTCATCCTCACTTCTCCATTTCTCTGGCACTGCCATGTTCAAGGAACTCTTCTCTTCACAGATGAGATCCAGCAGGTTCTTGGTGTGGCTGCTGGGCTTCGGGATCTCTGCAGGCTGTGAAGGCAGGAGGCAGAAAAGTGAGGGGTGAGACAACAGCCAAGGGGAGACAGAGACCCATGAGGGCCTGAGCTGCTGGGCCCTGCCAGGGGGGCAGCTTCCTACCACTGAACGTGTTTTATTTTTGAAGGTGTTTGTGTCTATGTTTTGCACATATTTTGCTTTGCCTTCCTTTAAAGGGTCAATGTCTTACCATTTAACAAATAAAACCAACAGGTCACTTTCTAGTAATAAATAAACAAAGCATTCCACATGGTTGTAAACCTTACACTCATCAGGACAATAGTTCTTCTAATTTTATTCTCAAATAGAAGAGTGAAAATAGTTTATTAAATTGTATTATCTTCATTGCTTGTCATGCTTCGTTTGGACACCAAATTCCACTAAAACTCAACACACTTTTTTTTTCCTCTGCAAGAGTTATTGAAACAATTCTTTCAATCTGCCAAAGCAGAAGAAAGTCACCACTAATTTAGCACTAGAGATAGAAGAAGAGAAGAAACAGAGTTTTTTAACACAGAGCAGTATTTCAAAATGACAGAAGATCACAGATGCTGGCACTGAAGTGTCCCCAGGCCCGTGAGCCTGTGCAGGGCTCTCCCCAGGGCCCACTCCCAGGGCAGAGGAGCCTCACCTGCATTCCTTCCTTGGGGAGCAGGCTGGAGTCCACCACGCTGCCCAGGTCCGGGGGCAGGGAGCCACGAAGGGACGGGGGGAGGCCACGGAGAGGAGAGAGGGGGCCCAGGGGGGGCTGGATGGGAGCCAGCTGCGAGCCTGGGGGCTGCAGAAGCACAGGGAGGTCACTGCAGGACAGCACAGCTGGCCCTGGAAGGGACAAGGAGCTGCCCAGGGCTGAGCCTGCTCAGAGACCCCACACCCCAGCACAGGTGAGGGAACAGGGTTGCATTCACTCACACACCTTGCTGAGCAGGTCCTGAATGCTCCTCTCCCTCCCACACACACCAGGTTTGGGTGTTCTTTTGGGTGTTCACTACAGCCAAATCCAAAGGTGATGCTGAGCTCCCACCCCAGCTGGGTCACTGCCCATCACCCAGCTCTGGGGTCACAAGGCACTTTGTGTCCTTGGAGCCACTTGTCAGCCCCTGCCCAGCCCTCCCCAAAGCACTGCAGGCAGAGCCCACTCACAGGGAGCTGCTTCAGGAGCTGCTTCTCCTTCTTGTCCTTCTTCTTCTCTTTCTTCTCCTTCTTGTCCTTCTTTTCCTTCTTGTCCTTCTTCTCCTTTTTCTCCTTCTTCTCCTTCTTCAGGCCTCCCCGTGCCAGCAGCTTCTCCCTCTCCCTGATGACCAGCTGCTTGTAGTGCTCATCACAGGGGTGCTCCCACGTGGAGAGGCCGCTCTCAAAGTTGAAGAAATAGATGTCACCCCCTGCAATATCCTGGCTGCAGGGCAAGAACAGCAGGGAAAGGTCAAAGAGCACGTTAAAACCACAGCTGAACAGGGCAGAACATCTCTGCTGACGGTGGGAGCACCTGAAGCTCAGGGAAGAGGAGTGTGGTGTCTCCAGGAGACCACCAGTGTGGGAAATAGCTCTCCAGGATGCTCATATCCAGCTTCCCAAACAGCTCCTCCCCTTCTGCTGCCACCCCGAGCTCCTGACGCCCCACCAAACCCAATCCCCTGCCAGCTGGAGCCATTCCCCTTGTCCTGTCACTGGGAACAGCACAGCTCTCACCAGGCCTTCCACTCGGGGGGCATTGGGGTCACCAGGCACTCCCTGGCCAGCCACAGCAGCTCAGACTCCTTGTCGGGGTCAATCCCGATTGTGGGTGCAAAGTCCCGGATCTCTGGGGAAACAGAGAGCAGCCTGTGAGCCTGGTCTGCCCCACAGAGCCACCCTCCTCAGCTGAAGCTGGGGAATCTGAGCCCAAAGCCCTGAGTGCCTGTGGAGCCCACCCTGCCAGGCTGGGGACAGGGGCAGTGGCACTCAGGGTGACACTCAGCTCTGCCTGCGCTAAAACCCCGCGTGTGCCAGCCCCTCCAGAAGCCAGCCCCCCACCTCTGAGCACAGCTGCATGGCTGAACCCCCTCTGGCAGCCCCGGGAAGGGCGGCCTGGCTCACCCTGCTCCATGGGAACGTAGGAGTCATTGTAGTCCTCCTCCAGAATGAGCTGGTCCCCGATGCGCACGGCTCCTGCCATGGGGGCACGCCTGGCAGCGGGGGCAGCCAGCCCAGAGCCCCTGCTGCCCTCAGGAGAGGGAACTGCTCACCCCCAGCACATGGCAGGGCCCTGCAAAAGTGGATCAAGGAGCCTCCAGACGCCCGTCCATGGGCTGTGGGAACAGAGAGCAGGGCTGGGGTGGAACAAAGGCACAACCACATCCCCCAGGCCTCCCAGTTCCTGCAGGAAAGATGCTTCAGGCACTGCTTAAGCAGGAAAAAATAAGCTGCAATGAGACAGAGAAGAAAGGGAAAGGAAGAAACTTTCCCAAAGCATTGCTTTGTGATTGAACTCCCAGCCCATCCAGCACGGTTCAGGCAGCTGGAGCTCACCCAGCTCACCCCAAACACCCTCAGCCGTGGCTCTATGTTTGGCCAGCACAAGCACTGGGGGAGCACAACTGCTGCTCAAACACACAACTGAACGCCAAGGTCAAACATTTCAGCCTGAACCCCCCCAGATTCTCAGTGCACAAAGCACTCCTCTGCTTTCCTCGTGAGAGCCAGGGGGTTGTGGCACTGCCAGGTGCCCCCAGTGACAGCACCCAGAGCAGGATCAGCACCCGTGGCACGGCCAGCACTGCCCTCTTCAGCTCCCTGCGTCCTCAGCCCACTCTGTATTTATATCTCTTATGTAAAGTCTCAGAAGCAGCGACTAATCCTGGCTCTTTCCAGGTGAAGATATTCTCAGCAGATCCAAACCCCGCCAGCCCCACGGAGCTCACACCACTCCCCCTCCCAAAGGTCCCCAGATGGAGCATTTGGGTGTGGGCGGCTCACCCAGGGCCTCGTGTTCCTTTTTCCCCTCCCAGACTATCCCAGTCCCGTCTCCCATCCCATCCTTGGCACTGGGGATGCATTAGGGGCTCACCCCTCTGCTGGAGAATCTGCCTCGCCACATACGGGGGGACTCAGAGCGACCTCTCAGGGCTTGAGGGGCAGCTGTAACAGAAGGGGACAAGGGGAAGGATTTGGGTGAGGTCTGCGGAGGGAATTCTTTCCCGTCAGGGTGGTGAGAGCCTGGCACAGGCAGCCCCATCCCTGCCAGGGCTCAAGGCCGGGCTGGGCGGGGGGCTTGGGGCGAGCTGGGGGAGTGGAAGGCCCATGCCCAGGGCATGGGGGTGGACCTGGATGATTTTCAGGTCCGTTCCAACCCAAAAAACCGCTCTCCAGCTCGGTGCAGACACAACCGAAGCCTCGGCGCAGCCGCCGCCGCGCCGGCCCGGAGCCACGGGAAAAGCGCGGCTGGCGAGCAGGACCAACAGCTTTGGTTACAGGGTATTTAAAAAACAGGGAAAAAAAGCCATTTTCACCCGCATCACGGCAGCACCCACGCCGCACACGCACACCGAGCCCGCGTGCGGCGGCAGGCCGGAACCGCGCGGCGCGGGGCCGCTCCCCGCAGCCTCCGCTCCCCGAGGGGACCCTCCCGGAGCCCGGCCCTGGCCCTGGCGGTGCGGGCCCTCCCCCACCGCCCCGGCCCCGCCCCCTCCCCGCCATTGGCCGGCGCGGCGATGCGCGCCACCCCATTGGCCGCCGGGGAGGCGGGATGCATGACGTCACCGCGGCGGGGCCGCGGCGGGCTGCGGTTGCCATGGCGACGCGTGGGTGCCGCCCGCGGCTGTCCCGGCGTGTCCCGGCGTGTCCCGGTGCGTCCCGGTTTGTCCCGGCGTGTCCCGGCGGGCCAGCGGGACGGGCGCGGGGAGAGGGCCCGGCAAAGGGCCGGGAGCACCGGGCAGGGCCGGGGCGGGTCTCTCGGTGAGCGCTTCCGCCGGCGGGCGGGCTTTCCGGGGCGGGTCCGTGCGCG